ATCAAACTCTGGTGCAGGTCCTCTGAGGAGGTCAGTGCAATTCTAACCAAACTGTGGTGCAGTTTGTTTAAAATATGACCACAAAACAGACCAAACACCAAATGAACCATCACCTCTTGGTACATGCAACAAATGACTTTCTGATGTTTTTTTTAAATATATGGATATACTTTATCATCGCTTCACAAGCCATCAGAAATGTAATCAGAAATGATAGAAAAATAGTTTCATTTTTAAACCAAGGCACCACCTCCTGTAGTAGATTTCTTTAGAATATTCATAAAACCCACAAGCTCTGTTAGATCAGAGTACAACATGCTTAAGAAAGTTTGTCGGATCTTATTGCAGTTATTTTTAACAAATGTATGTCATAAAATCTTTTTTGATTACAATTTATGGCTTGTTGTCAAATATGCCAGCGTATACAGTGTGAACCAGAAGTAGAACTGAACAATGTATCATTTTTTGCTTGGTCTGAATAAACTGAACCAAACTACTACATAAACTGATGCTCAGATTTATGATGCCTTTAAATAGATGTATCTGTAATATTAATTATTTAGTCCTATCTATGCTGTTAAGCCTCAGAACTACAAAATATCACTCAGTGAAAATCTCTTACTCACCAGTAACGTTTACCCAGAGTGCATCACTGTAGTGTGTGTAATAGACTGGATTTCCTCTGCCAGCTCTGCACCAGTACTGACCTCCATCAGAGAGACTAACTGAGCTGATGGTGTAGACGTTGGTGATGGTCTCCTTCTCAGAGTTCTGTGTGTGTTTGGACCAGTAAAACGTCCATCCAGCAGACTGAGGGAGGTTACAGTTCAGAGTCACTGTGTTTCCTGTCAGTACAGCTCCGTCATGGTTTGAGGTGATTGTAGGTTTGACTTTTACCGTTGATGAAGAACAAAGTTCAGTTGAGAGAATTTAGACAATCAGCTTTATGTTATTTAGAAATGTAAATACATCATTGTATTTTGGAGTAAGATTAATTTATTAAGCTCATCCACACATGATACCTTCACACCTCTGTTTCAATCATCATTACAGAGGAAACAGAGTGGAGATCAAAAGAAAAGTGGTAGCAGTAAATTAATCAGAATTATTAGGCTAAGAAATGGTGGAAAGGTGTAACTGAGGAACATATAATGCCTGACAATCACTTATGTGTCCTAATTGTCTGGATGGTGGTTTAGTTTTGTAACATAATAATAAGTTTGCTAAAAGACATCCTGTATAAGATGAGTTCTCTTTGGTGTCTAACATTGCTCTGACTAGCTGTACTGTTAGCTTTAGTTCATCTGAAAGGGCAGCTTTTTAAACCCTAAATGTTTTCAGAGCTTCTCTTCAGTGTGATTCTACATTTTACTTTGTACAACTGAACTTTTTAGTATGTTACAAGGCAGACCGAGCTGAAAATTTGATAGACGTGGAAACAATAACAAAGGAAGATGAGACTTTTGCAACTGTTTAAGTAGTGCAGACCCTGAGAAGATCTCTTATACATGATATTCAGAATAATCTATAATTGTCAAGTGAAAAGCTAGAAAACTCAGACAGCAGCATAATCACGGCAGTATAAACAAACCATGCAATTCAAATGTATTTGCAATCCTACTTTATTGCTTTTTAAAGCCTTTTTCTGACAGCAAATGGACTTTGAATCAGTTAAATTTAAAATTACAGAGGTCTGATGTGTCTGCTGTGTTTGTAATACATAACCTTTACGTTGTTAAGTCGTAGCATAGTAATGAAGTGTTATGACACGCTACTAGGCTGGCATGATCATGGGAGCTTTTTCGAGTCATTTTTGTGTCCTCGGGTGGACGGAAAGGTTTTTAAAAATGCTGTTGGTGTGGACGAGGATTATTTTAAAATTTTAAAGAAAAAACATTTTCAAAAATATCCTGATACGTGTGGACGAGGCCTAAGACTGAACATTAGAAACTCAGCTTTTGTAAAGGAACAAAAGCTGTGATAAAGGCACAGGATACATGTGCACTAAATAACAATAAACATGTTGAGATCATCTTTACTTGTTGAGGCTTTAGTGTACTTTTCTATATTTATATTTTTTTTGCTTTTTCTCATTGCAGAAAAATGACTAACTTGTAGGTCTACTTTTGACTGGAAATGAAATAATGAAAGATGGTCTCCGACATTTGCACAGTACTGTACAAGAAGTCATTGAGGCTCCTGAGATACTGAGTATTTTAAAGAGATTATTGCTGATATGTTTAGTACAGGATGATTTTTTTTTGTTGTTGTTGTAGTAATGCACCTTTTTAAACTTTTAAAGATAGAAATAAAGTATAAAAGACGCCACACTCACCTGATACAGTCAGTGTAACAGCTTCACTGGTGTGTGTGTATAGTCGGTCTGTTGACTGTGTTCCCTTACAGGCGTAAACACCTGCATGAGACTGATCAACATTAGAGATTTCATATTTCTTCCTTTGAGCATCTCTGAGAAGATTATTATTCTTATACCATTCATAATTCCAGTAATCTCCACTTTCTATTTCACATGTCAGAGTGACTCTCTCTCTGATGAACACATGATCAGCTGGCTGGACTTTCACTGTAGCTTTTGGTCTCTCTGTTCAAAGATGACAAATACTGTTGAATATAATCTCCCTGAACATGCATCTCTTGATCACTACTCCTCTTTTGCAGTGGCTGTGAACAAACTCTAATAAATGTTTTACACAAAAGCCAACTCTTGTCTTCAGCTGACTGTCAGTGTTTATGAGATGAGCTATGTGAACTCACTGAAATCTAAGATACTGTGGGCTGAATGTACTGAGTCCCGTGTGCAAATTCAGAAGTAATTAGGATTCATTATGTCTGTGTGTTACTTTTTAAACTGGTAAATTAAATCAAACAAGCAGGTTCTAAGCACACATCTGAAAACACAGGATGTGCTTCTCTCCATCATGCATATGCATTTCAGAGAAAACTGCAAAAAGTAGGAAGATTGTGTAAAAATGGAAGAGCAACTTATTTAAAGATTTTTTGGAAAAAGGTGGGAATAATTGTGTTTATGTGTAATTTATTTATTTGTAGACATTGAAAACATTAGCTTGTAGGGCTTCTTGATGGACAGTTTGACTTGAAATAAAATAAATGATGGGTCTCTGACAACTTTTGCACAGTGCTGTACATTAATTAATGGAGACTGTGGATATTCTGTGTTCTTAAAGAGAAAATTTCTGATGTATATAAGACAGGATGATGCTTTTATAGTAGTGATGAACTTCTACACTTTGAACTCACAAATGCAGAAATAAAGTAAGAAAGATGTCACACTCACCTGATACAGTCAGTGTAACAGCTTCACTGGTGTGTGTGTATAGTCGGCCTGTTGACTGTGTTCCCTTACAGGTATAAACACCTGCATGAGACTGATCAACATTAGAGATTTCATATTTCTTCCTTTGAGCATCTCTGAGAAGATTATTATTCTTATACCATTCATAATTCCAGTAATCTCCACTTTCTATTTCACATGTCAGAGTGACTCTCTCTCTGATGAACACATGATCAGCTGGCTGGACTTTCACTGTAGCTTTTGGTCTCTCTGTTCAAAGATGGTAATACATTGTGTGATCCACATACTCCTAACCTTTATATGTTAACATATTCTGGACTTTTTTCAAATTCAAATGCAAATTTGAAAATTCTAATGTATTTACAGCTGCAATTTGAATGTGAGGGTGCATCACTTAGGACAAATACAAAAAGTGTATGTGTCTTTAAATTTCTTTTTAAAATTTCATTTTCATTGTTTTAACAGTAAAACTTTGACATGTTAAAAACAGAATAACAATCAGCCATTTGCAATTAATTTTCCTCATTGTCGCTCCAGCTCTGCCAAAATTAAAATCTGTTTGCAACTGAATATTTACTGTTAATGAAGCACTGCCGTCAATCAAACGCTGTGGGCGGGACGTCGGGAGGGATTTTTTAGTGCAGGGCGTGTTTTAGGAGGAAGTGACAAAAAGTCTAAATGTTGGCAGGACTGACGCAGAGCTAGACTCTTGTTTAGAATATGGAGGCAGCAGTAGCAAACAATGCTATTGACACTTTAACACTTGCTAACCAGGCCGAGAATAATTTTGTCGAAAGTCATTTCCTGTTGTTTTGTGTGGAAGTGATTCTTGATGGACTTGGAGAACTTATGGTTATCACAGGCACCAATGTCAGTGACACTGTGATCGGCATCGGTCAGAGGCTCACAGGACAGATAGAGGAACACTGGAGAAACACGGCCCTTAACATTTTAGTCCTTTCTTTACTTTAACACACTCATTAAAAACAGTCAGGGGTTGTTAACAAGTTGGTGTCTCATGGACACTGAAAATGCAATTGCAACTAGGATTGCAGATACATTTTATTTTGGCACAGCTGGAGCAACAATGATGAAATCCAATTAAAAATGGTTGATTGTTATTCTGTTTTTAACATGTCAGACTCAGATTATTAGGACAATAAAAATGAAATGTTAAAAAGATTTTGCTTTTCCATATTAAAGTTTTCCAACGAATAAACATAGAAATGCAAATGGAAATACAAGTTTTGCATTTGAATTTTATTAATGTCTTAAATGATGCTCACTCACATGGGAAATGCAGTTAATACAGTTAATGCAGTAAAAACACAATATAATTGCATTTACTTTTGAATTTGAAAAAAGTCCAGAATTTTCTACCACACATTTAACTGTTAATGGAAAGACAAAATGAAACAGACGCCACACTCACCTGATACAGTCAGTGTAACAGCTTCACTGGTGTGTGTGTATATTCGGCCTGTTGACTGTGTTCCCTTACAGGTATAAACACCTGCATGAGACTGATCAACATTAGAGATTTCATATTTCTTCCTTTGAGCATCTCTGAGAAGATTATTATTCTTATACCATTCATAATTCCAGTAATCTCCACTTTCTATTTCACATGTCAGAGTGACTCTCTCTCTGATGAACACATGATCAGCTGGCTGGACTTTCACTGTAGCTTTTGGTCTCTCTGTTCAAAGATGACAAACACTTTTAAATCTCATACAGTCTGTCTGAACATGCATGACAGTGTGGCCTCCACTACCAAGTAAAATACAGACTATGCCACTTATTATATTATAAAGGGTGGGAGAACCCTATTTAGCACTTTTCCCCACCACAGGTTCATCTAAACATACATGGATCACACAACTGATGGCTCAATACCAAACGTTTATTAAAGAAAGATCACATAAAAGAAATCACTTGCATATTTATTATATATATATATATCCCTTTTTTTTAAATAAAAAGAAATATACTTTAAGATTCCTGCCTCCTACTATGGCTATTAAAATATAGCAAGGGCTAAAAATACCTGCAGTGTCCCGGCATCTCCACTTCAAATCTCAAGCTTTAAAATAAGTTAAGGTCCACATCCAAATCACACAAAAACTGGACTGGGTTAACCGAGCTGCCTACCCTCAGTCACCACAGTTCAAACTAGAAGAACCAAAGAAATATAATGTTCTAAGCCCTAACAAGGGAATACTCGGTACTTGCTAATATAAAAATAAAATTACATTTAATTAGGGGTGCAACGATTATTCGACTTAGTCGACTAAAATCGACGACCAAATTAGCTGGTAACTAATTTAGTAGTCCATTAGATGGTGACTTCATTACAGGTCTTTCTCGCGCTCACTACGAACGTTTTGACATTACCGCTCACTGGAGAGTTAACAGCAGCGCGATGGCTGCCTCAAGAATAAAATCCTCAAAAGTGTGGAGCTAAACTCAGAAGAGGAAACTCTTCCTGAAGAGGAAACTTGTCGGCTCACGTTCGCCGCATTTGACCGCACCGGTGGCCTTTGACGCTAAGACGACGATGAAACTTTTGAAACTGTAAACGTTATCTGGAAAGTGGACAGGGTCGCTGTAAATAATAGTTACTTGCTCCTCTGTTCCAACTCCGTTAACGACTCCAGAGAAAATACACTTCGAAACACAAATATTACAGCTCAGCTCGGAACATGAAGTAGGACGGTATTCAACATTAACATTAGCTAACTAGCTCACTAGCGCAACTAACTATCGCCGTGTCCCAAGCCACACTTCTGTACTTCACACACTACGCTAATGGGTGCACTTCTACTGGTATATGCGCTATTTTTACACACTATTTAGTGAGCTAGTATGCGGTTTGGGACGCGGCGTATCTTACCGAGATGAATCGTCGTCATCCACACCGGAGAGCGTTTACAACAGGTCTCTGTTCTCCGCGAACATTTAGCTCCACTCGCTAACGGTTTTAGGAGGTGGTTCTCCTTGAAGATACAGGTAGCTGGACTGAGGGTTACCGTTGAAATGAAGCTTTTACAGAAAATCGTTCAGATTTAACTGTTCATAGTGAACAAGTTTTCCACAAACATTCGCCGCTTTCCCGTCCGCTCTATCGCAGCGCGGCTCCTCTGCCGCGGGGATGATCTGCTCTCCGAAGAGGACGAGTCTCTCACAGGAGCACAGAGAGACGCGGACTCTCCTCCGTTTCACTAAAGACCCGTGATTGTACAATGCACCGTTAAAATTTAGATTTTTTAACCTACTTGATTAAAGGAAAAGTGATTTAGTTTTGTTATATTTTTCTACTTTGCACATCCTTGGTTATAAATTTTGGCAGTAAAAATATATTGGATTTTATTTTTTTATCTTTTGTATTAGCAGGAAAGCTCATTAAAACAGTGAATTCCTGAATGGTATTCCTCTTTTGTCTTCATTGTTAGTTAGCAACTGCATAAAACAACCTCAAGCTAAATTTAAAAGCTAATAGCTACAGAAAAGTTATTTCGCAATGTAGTGATTCATAATCTGAATAATCGATTATTCGTTTCAATAATCGACAAATTATTCGACTATCAAATTAGTCGTTTTTTGCAGCCCTACATTTAATTCCACATAAAAATACGATTCCAAATATCAATAAAGAGCTCGACATTCAGGAAGATACTGCACTGTGCCCACTTAGTTAAAATGTAAACCCTAATGACCCCAGGATATCGCACATTCCTCCATCAACAATACAAAACAACTAATAACAATATTTTAAAATAAGAAATGTTGGACCCTCAATTTGAAATACAACGAAATTCAGAAGGGAAAATAAAACCCATAAAATAGATTTGTCTCCAAGCTGGTACCAATTAAAAAAGGTAAAACCTTAGGTCATTATTGTATTAAGAAAACACCAAAAGCCAGAGAAAAAAACACAAATAAAAAGGTGGGAAAAACAGTGGCTACACCAATGTCTGCACTCTTGTCTTCAGCCACTCTCTCTTTGTAGGTTATTTAAGTAATTGTGTCTGCTGCCACCCTCTGAGAGCTCTCCTTCAGTCACCAGCCTCCACAGTTAGCTGTATCTCCCATCTTTCTCCCCTGTCTTACTGACGGTTTAAGCAGGGCAAACCAAAGCCGGTTTATGAGGCCACTTCCTATTCCCCCCATTTTATCAAGAACAGGACTGCCGAACAGCAAAGGGCGCCCGCGAGGGAGTCCTCAATGAATAGGAGTAAATGGCGCTCAACGGCTAAAAACGAAAAGTTAAAATAGTTTCTAATCACTTACCCAGAACGTTTCTTTAATTTTAGAAAGTAGAAAGATGTATTTCACTAAATCACAAAGAAATCTTACATATATGTTTCCTTTTTCCTACAGCAAACGGGTTTTGGGCAGCAGGAGGCGGGCTTTACTGCTAGAGCGTGATGATTGATTGGCGAGCGGAGCAGCTCATTGGCTGACGTCATGGATAAAGGTCGGAATACTCCAGACTACGGCGGCGTTCTGCGCACGTGGCTCGAACAATGCCGGCCCTACGGGTCTCGAAAGAGCTCGAGATATTCGCGTTTGCTCCCGACTCTGACAACTAGCCTTCCTGCTGGGTCCTAGTGCCCCTCCTGTTTCCTTCCCAGCTGGGACCAAGTGTCCCACAGGCTACAACAGTATTCAAAAACATTCACTCTGTATTAGTTTACAGAGAATATTTTATTCCAGGTGTGTTTTTATGTTGATCACTACTCATCTGCATCTTCCACTTCCTGGCTGTGGATCCATTCTAATAAACTTTAAAAAAAAATCTAACTGCTGATGTTACCAGTGTCCATGAGATGAACTATGTAAACTAATACAGTGGGCTGGATGTATTCAGGTTTTTGTGCTGGATTCAGATAGAATTTGTATGTATTCTTCTCGTGTGTTATGAAGGAAACTGGCAATTGAGCCTAAACACACAGTATTTGGACAGTAGAACAAACAAGATGTCTGTCTCCTTCATGCATATGTATTTGAGGGACAGTTGCAGAAAACCTAGGAGGACTGTACAAAAAATAGGTAGAGATGTTGGAAGTACAGCTGGTTACATTTTCCACTAGATTTACTGAAGTTTGTGCAACTTGCTGCAGCAAGTTTTGCATGAATTTTTTTAAAAGCAGATGTAGATTTGTCTTAAAGTCACAAAAGACATGTGGCTAAGATCAGACGTAGGATTTAGGTATTTGCAGACCTCTCTGGAGGAAATGATTCATTGCACAAAACTTGAAAAAGAATATTTTTTTAACATGACGTATTTTGGGCCCAGTTGAGTGGATGAATCTAATCATGGAAAGCACACTGAAAGAATAAAAAGTGAGAAAGTCACCACACTCACCTGATACAGTCAGTGTAACAGCTTCACTGGTGTGTGTGTATATTCGGCCTGTTGACTTTGTTCCCTTACAGGTATAAACACCTGCATGAGACTGATCAACATTAGAGATTTCATATTTCTTCCTTTGAGCATCTCTGAGAAGATTATTATTCTTATACCATTCATAATTCCAGTAATCTCCACTTTCTATTTCACATGTCAGAGTGACTCTCTCTCTGATGAACACATGATCAGCTGGCTGGACTTTCACTGTAGCTTTTGGTCTCTCTGTTCAAAGATGACAAATACTTTTAACACTTATTCACTCTCTCTAAACGTGCATGACAGTATTCAAAAATATTCACTCTCTATTAGTTTACAGAGAGAATATTATGTGATATATTTATGTGATGTTTTTATATTGACCACTACTGCTCTGCTGCATGTTCTATTTTCTGGTTGTGAACAAACTCTAACGTTTCAGCCAAATCCAACTATTGCCATCAACTGATGCTTCTAGCACTAATAAGATGAACTACAAAACTTCAAAATTAAATTTCAAAGAGAATTTTGATGATCATCGTCTGTTAGGTCTTAAGTTTGTGAAGTTAGATGATATTTTCATAGCAGTAATGCACGTCTGCACATTTATCTGTTAAAGCTGCACTATGTAAGTATTGTGGATTTGGAGACCTCTTTGGTGAAAATGTGTTACTAAACGCAACATGCAGAACATTTTGTAACATTGGTTGTGATATGAACCTCCTGAGTGAATCAATCTGATCACTGTGTGTTCATTGAAAGAGCATTCAAGGAGAACTCAGTCAACTCGGTGACGGACGGGTCTTCTGAGGATGTGAGTGAATAATCTACTGTTGTCCTCACATTATCATTAGTATAATTATATTTTTGCATTTAAGACCTAAATATCAAGCAGGACCTTCTTTTTGAGACTCTGTAATGTTAATACTTAAAGATGTAAGATGTGGTCTGAAAAACCCTGTAAAAAACTTTCTGATCCCCTCTGGCTGTTAAACTACTTTAGGCTGCAGTACACAGCAGCAAAACAGAGTTTTTCTGCTACTTTTTAAAGTTTTAATAAAAAATGTATACCTTGTAGCTTTATCGATTTAAATGATCTAAGAAAGACAACACTCACCTGATACAGTCAGTGTTACAGCTTCACTGGGGAGTGTGTATGTTTGGCTTGTCTTTTGTCTTCCCTTACAGGTATAAACACCTGCATGAGACTGATCAACATTAGAGATTTCATATTTCTTCCTTTGAGCATCTCTGAGAAGATTATTATTCTTATACCATTCATAATTCCAGTCATCTCCACTTTCTATTTCACATGTCAGAGTGACTCTCTCTCTGATGAACACATGATCAGCTGGCTGGACTTTCACTGTAGCTTTTGGTCTCTCTGTTCAAAGATAATAAATAATTTTAAAATATAAATGCGTCATTCTACTGAACTGATTCAGTGCTGAAAACCCATTTTGGACCTGGACTTTAGACTAAAATCCTTTTGCTTTTAGTGAAGCTTAACCTTAATTATGTTCATCAGTACAAATGACTTCAGATTGTCTTTTATCAGTGACAAAATGTTAATAACACTATCAAAACTTTACCAAATGTTTAGATCAAGTGACAATTTTAGCAAATTTTAAGCATAACTCAAAAGTACTAGCAAGTACATGACTGTCGAACATAGCTTTAAATAGCTGTACACGCATAAAATCATAATATTTTTCATTAAAAGACTAAAAAAGTTTACTTAATTGCAGAAAAGATGTGTTTCAGTACTGACCATGCTTAATGTTACACACTGATTTTCAGACTCCGGAACACATTTACTTCAAAACAATGAGATCTAACTGCTCTCTCTGTGGTCATGAGAGACAGAGATGCAGCCTCACTTCCTGCTCTAAAATGTAGGTTTGTGGCTAAAATAAGGCTCCGCCTATGGACTAAAACTCTGTGTTTCTGTAGTGACCTGAAAACTTGGGACAGCATTTTTATTAATAACGTTGTTTTAAAGTTATAAAGTCACTTTAAAGGAAATCAAAAGGATCTTTTAAATAAAAAAAAAAACTTATTTTCACAAGTGTAATTTAAAATGTATATTTTTTTTAAATGTATATTTAAAAAATATATATATTTTTATATATATTTAGCTTATTACTATCTGATTTGGTGCCTTGAATTTAAATAGATCATAACATAATCATTGTAAATATCTAAGGTCAAAATGCAGAATTGTTTTGCACTGTTAGACTGCAATTTGAACTAATTGGTAGCACGGTCTATTTAAATTTAAAATTATTTAGAAACATCACTGAATATTATGGAACCATTTTATATATATTTTTTCATCATCATTCTAAAATCACATCATTTGTCTGAAAAGAAACAGAAAATGTGACATACCTACTACTGTAATCCTGACGGGATCACTGTATTGTGTAGTATAGTCTCCGCTGTGCGCTGCACACATGTACTCTCCTCCTTCTTTAAGCAGAGTTACGTTTAGTGTTTTTAATTCATGTTGTAAATGCTGAGAGTTTTTCATCCATAAAAACTTCTCTCCAGTAGACTGCAGCATCTCACAGCTCAGAGTAACTGTGTCTGGGCTCTGAGGCTCCACCTTCACAGTTGGTTTCTGTTGTGCTGTTGATATAAAATGATGAGGTCAGCAGAGCTGCTTTACTCTTTATAATATAAGAAGTAGATTATCATCCTAATCACATGATTTGAGACTAATGAGTTTAATGTTTCTATGTTCTATGAATGTGTTTGTTCAGTCAGGCTGCACTTTAACTTCTGACTTTGTCTCTTCTTTAAGAGCCCTTTATCATCTATTTATGCATTGGCAACATTAGCTTGAATTACAATTTGCACTTGTTTTAAATATTAATGTGTCTGATCACTTGTGATTTTACTTATTTGGAACACTCGTCTACACGTCCATAACCAGGACTGACATTTATTGAGGTTCATATGATCTACTTCACACACTGAGTAAACCACACTGCCAGATATGTGCAGAACAGAAGTGCTGTTTTCTAAACTCCTTTATGTTTATTATTGCTTTATGTACCTATTTCATCTGTTCCTTTCCTTCCATTCCTTCATAAACTGCTTTGATCCCAGTTTGACTGTTTATTTTATTTAGTTAATTATCCAAGTGATAATCAACAGTCAAAATCCTGATCTGCCCAAGTTAAACCTTAATTGAAAAATAAAAATATTTTATTGGTTAAAATTAGTCAATTAGAATTACAAAAATAATAGTTTAACTATATTAGTTAAATTATATGAAATATTAGTTTAATGATCCCACAGGGGGGATCAGTGGCAGATTTACTAAAAGAGGTGCTAATTATTGACACTTTGTGCTGGTGGGCGTGGCTAGTTTAGCAATGTATCTACTGAGAACTTCCATGTAAATGAACACTGGTGCAACTTCATAGTTAACATATGACCAACGCAATATAACCACGTATTTGACTCCCATGATTTTTGTATGGAGGCCTGTTTACACCAATAGGGGGAAAAGGCTGCGTCTGAAAATGCATTCAACAGCAGTAAATAGTGTGTAAAAAACAGTGCACCATCTTTAGAATTTGTAGCATGTGTATTTGTAGTGTGTAAAGTATAGAAATGAGTGGTACTGTTGTAGTACCAGAGTCCAGTACATTAATGATCTGAGTGCAGAGCATCCGTCTGAGGTCATTGGAAACATCATTATTTAATATAAACAAAACCTTCAAACAGAATAAAACTTCTTTTCTCTACACGTTTTAATCAAATCTGTTCGCTGCTGGATGATGATCTAATTGATCTTTCCATGGCGGCTTAACTGGCTATTTTTAATACGCTGAATTGATGTTGACAAACATTAATATTTTTGGGCTATATATTATTAAATGTTCTATTTTACAAAATGTATTGTAATGTTAATTATTAACATAAATCATGTGTAATGGATAATAATTAATTAAAAAAACAAACACACATTGATTTCAATTTTTATACCCTTTCTGGATTCTGAAAAAAATCTTAATCTGGTCTCAGTCTTGGCTTCGTCTCAACAACTACAACGTCTTGGTCTTGACTCAGACTCGATGTGTCCAGGTCTTGGTCAAAACATTTTTTTAGCCTCTGATCCTTAATTCAAAATAATGACTAATTTTCTGGAGATTTGGATTTAGTAGGTCCAATAATGACTAATAACTAAAGAACAAGTTATTAGTCTTCGAGAAAATATGTGATTATTTTGACATTATAATTCATTATTTTGAGAAAACATTATTTTGGCACAAAAAATAATAAAAAGAATCAGTAATTATTTCTATACATAAATAATGTGTTGAAACACGTTGTGTGCCGGGAACATTTAGAATTCCTGCTCGATTGGGAACTGTATGATTTTGTCCTGAGATCATGTAACAAGTAGCTTTAGTAATGCAGTGATTGCAGAGCCAGAAGAGTTTCACAATAGTTTTGGAAAGAAAACTGTCAAATCAATTTAAACAAAACGTGAAAAATCTAATTATCAGAATGAAAAATCACATCAAAGTGCAGTAGTTTAGTTTCTCTGCCAAGTTACTTTGTGCTGCCTCTGTGTGTTTAAGAATTCACTAGGACCTGCATTTATTGTCTTGCGCTGAATGATATCACATATTGTGCTGAGATAAAGGTGTTTCCGGTTACTCTTAATGGCTGCCACTAATCACCTATTCAGAGAAGTTTATTTTTGTTTTTATAGACTATATTAAGTCATACCATCCTCTAAACCACATCTATTTCTCTGCACAAAACAAATAAAGATGTGTTTTCAGTGGGATGAAAGACGTTTTTGGGCATGTATTTATGGGGATAAGATTGGAGACAGTCTAAGTTCAGTGTTTGTTAGCAATGTAAACTAATAAAAGGAAACTTTAGGTACCAAACATGTCTTGGCTATTGACTGCATCCGGGGTAAGTGATAAATCTTATTAGTATGATTTATCACCAAACTATTCATTTAAGACACTTTGATGGGTGTAAAATGTTCTTATTTTTCATTTTTTTCATTGCAGAAAATATATTTATGTATGTGATAAAAATCTTTCTTTACTCTGTCTCTCAGTAACAACAGCAAACACGCTAGTGCCAAAAATAATACAGCTTTTCTCAGGCATTAAACAGCGCACACTCAGTATTTACTATCAGCCTATGTAAATCTGAATTAATAATTCATTATAATAATGATCTCCTACTAGTATTTTGTGCTTTCTGAGAAACACTACTATAAATGCATATGAAATACAGGCGCTAAAGAGCAACAACTGTCCTTTTTCATCTTATTACAGGCGTTAAAGTTCTAAAGAGCTGTTCCCCCTTTTTAAATCACAACACCACAATCTACAAAATGTTCGTAAATCTGCCCCTAAGATGATTTCTCTGGCATTCCTGCACATTAGCTACATTTCATAAGTAGAATGTTTTACTGAAATGACTACAATGTCTGCTCATTGTGCTTTGATAACTCTGTGTCGGGGTTTAGTTTTAATCAGCCTGATGAGCTGATTTTATATAGCGTATTTTAGTTAACCTGCCATAGTGTCTGGTGGGTGCAGCAAATCTTGGAAGCATTTCCACAAAGTAGGCTACACTCTGCCAACTCATCACAGTGTGGTTTCTACATCATCATTGAAGTTACATGGAAAAAACAAACCTTCAGAAACTACCAAGGTCCAGACCTCAGTGTTCTCATAGCTAACTGTGGTATTACTTGTGTATGAAATGTGAAGAATAAGATGTGTATGCAGGTGTACATGAGAGCTAATTAACTAATCCAGTAGATGTTCATGTAGTGATTCACCTTGAGTTTGTCCACAGTGGAAGAGCACAACCAGCACTAAAGTAGGAGAGAAACAGAGAACATGATGCATTATTGTGAAGTATTAGCTGCAGTTACAGGTAGAATGAATAATCAACAGTGAAAAACACAAGTTTAGCACAAGAGCAAGTCAACTAAACTATCATTGTCTAACTGTATTGGTCTTAAACCAGTCTGGGCAAGAGTGGTGCTCAACCTAACGCTGGGCAAAATGTAACACAATGTAGTACGTAGTTAAACAGACTCCACAGTCTGCTGAAAACACATGATGCAGCCTTCAAATCCAACAATAGTGAAGAACTTAAAAGTTGTCAGATACACACTAAAGGCTGGCATCAAGGCTGCTGAACTGAAGACTTTCTGTGCCTGTTCTATCACTGCTCAGGCTCGGCTAACCACCACTGCCCTGCCCCCCTCCGCAGAGGAGCCAGCACTCATACTAGCTTTAGATAAGGTGAGAAGAGCACTGATGAGGGTCTCAACTCAGAGAGAGGG